GATCAGGAGCCAGAGCCTTCAGCTATCAGGCTCCTCTCCTGTGGAATCATCTTCCTGTTACGGTCCGGGAGGCAGACACCGTCTCCACATTTAAGACTAGACTTAAGACTTTCCTCTTTGATAAAGCTTATAGTTAGGGCTGGCTCAGGCTTGCCCTGTACCAGCCCCTAGTTAGGCTGACTTAGGCCTAGTCTGCTGGAGGACCCCCCTATAATGTTTTTATATAATAAAAAACAGCAGTGACCTTTCCTCCTCTTTACTCAGATTCGACCCGCGGCCTCATCACAAGAACCAGTCCTCATCTTACAGAGCTTATAGAAAGAGCTTCAATAACTGTTAATGAAAGATGAGGTCATAGGACGAGACGCTCCGTCCTCCAAGAGACACCAACACTTACCTCACCTGACACATATCATACACACCAAACACTGCCACTCACACTCATGAACACACACACACACACATATCACACACACACACACACACACACACACTACAGTCAGTCTTCAGAGCAAACATGTTGCTACTCCATCAACACTAAAACAAGTGCTAAACCTCTCAGTCATGATGACCAGGATGAAGACGGTTAAAAGACATCACATCATCTTTATGAGCAGTTAAAGCACTGAACGAGGAACAAACACAAGAGGAAGGTTCACTTCCTGTTTCCTGTCGTCGCTGCTCTCCATTAATATGATTCTGTGAGACTCTTCAGCACTGAGACGACTCCTTTACTTCACGATAAGATGACGAGCTGAGAATTATTTATCTCCTCACACACTGAGACTAACAAAACCTGAAACATGAGCTGTGACATTTCAGCAGAGGCAAAGAGAAACAAGGCCTGTTTACTGCGGCGGTAAACACACATGTGAGGACGGCAGGCGCTCAGTGACGAGGTGCTGCGGAGCGACCGATGAGTGATGAAGATGTTTGTACTCACAGCTGTGCTCGCTGCAGCCTGTTTGGATTCTTCTGTGAGGAAGGCCAACATCAGCTCCACCTTCTGCTTCTCCTCCTCGCTGATGTAGTCTGTGTCTGTTGGTGGGAACACACACACACAGATGAGTGTTTGTCTAACAGTCTGTTAATCAACATGCTGAGACACTACTCCTTCAGTCTGACTGAACTCACTCTGACTACAGACTGAACCGTTCACATGGGCCCTACATAAAGTCATCTGATACGACGTGTGTTCAGAGGCCCGAAACTATTTCAACTTGTTCAAAGTGGTTCCACCTGCAGTGACCTTTAATCTGCCAGAAGAAGAAACTTGTGTTTCAAACCTCACTGAGAAATTTCAATTTATTCAAGGCCCAGTTCTGTTTCACATTTCTATCACCAGCCCTCATTTTCAAGAGCCACCTTGTCCCCCAGAGCAGAGTTAAAGGCCCCGATCACACAGGAAGTGCTTTGCAGGTTACAAAACTCGAGGCACTTGCTGCACCTTTTTTTTGTTGCCAGGCAACCAGCCCATCACCTCCTCACCCTAACCTTCCTGTGTGATCAGTCTACTGTTTGTGTATCCTGCAGTATTTAGTGTGTAGCTGCTGCCATGTTGAGGCAGAGGGTGCTGTCTGTAGCTCTGGTTGAGGGTGAGAGGCTGTCAGCAGATAAACAGAGATCTGTGTGGGTACATGAGACCCTAAAAAAGAGGCTGGATCATGGGGAGTACCACCAGTTGGTCCAGGAGCTTCTCCTCCATCATGGACGTTTACAGTACTGCACTTATCTGCTGTTTTCTATTCATATGGTGCTAACTGTGCTTTGTAAAGTCGTATAGCTCTGGGTATCCAGCAACCACTACCACCAGTTTCTCCTCCATTGTTCACCAACTGTAGACTGGTTGTCATGACCATCACAGAAGCCCCGCCTCTCACATCATCCCATTGGACAATGGGGAAAAAGCTGAGATGACGTGGAGTGCTTTTCTGCTCTGAGGTTGAGTTAAGTTTTAAGTCAAGTTTTTTCAACTCGGCTCGCTCCGGCAAAAATGCCAGGTGCCTAGAGCGCAGAAACATGAGGTGTGCAGCAAAAAGTTTCATTCTCATTATTTTACACCTGAATATAACATATTTGTATCTTTGTTACACTGTGGACACATTTTTACTCAGTTATCTGAAGTTGTTGCAGTTCATAAGTTATCAAAGATGATTATTTGAGTTTGAAGCAGAGAACATGATGTCATGAAAGAGACGATGGAAGAAGACCAGAGTTAATTAGCTGGAAACGTTCAGTTCATTAAGAACTGCTAATGAAGATATTAACAAAACGCTGAGGACTGATAGGTGGGAGCTGATTACTAGAAATATAAATGTTTTGTTTTTTGTTTGAGACCATGTTGCTATGCATCTATTTATTTATTTATTGTTGTTGTTTACTGTAATATTCATGTGCCCTTTTTAACATGGTTCATTTCATAGTTCCACTTTTAATATCTGTGAACTTCTGAAAAGTCTGTTAGATACGTTGGAATAAAGATGTCATTACAATTAATCCTAAATGACAAATACTCTGTGTGTGTGTGTGTGTGTGTGTGTGTGTGTGTGTGTGTGTGTGTGTGAGAGAGATAATTTCATCTGTATGACTGAAAATTAAACTAAACATGTATAACCGTATAAACCAGGACTGTGCGCTCATATCTGAGACGCTGAGCCTGAAGCTGTGCTGCTGGAGTCCTTCCTGTGTAAGCTGATCCGAGGGCTGGCACAGGATCAGTGTCCGACACAGCGTCTACAAATAATGACATGTGGGAAACACTCACAGATCCTGTTTCAGCCGAAGCACCAAATATAAACCACAAAGACAAAAGGTGAGGTAAAAAAAAGTAAGCCGCTGCTCTCCAGTTACACAAAGCTACGCTAATTATAATAATAATAATGATTTCAGCTGCAGTATGTGATCGTGCTCAGAGCAGCTTCCCTTAACAACATTGAGACCATTTTACACAGCTGCAGCTAAAACCACAAAACACAGAGCAGACAGTCTTTGTCCAGCAGATAGTGAGCTCCTGTGCTGGTCACTGATCGTCCCTTATGACTCAATATGTTCGAGCACAAAGAGAGACGGAGGGTCAGAGGTCAAGAGCTGCTCATATATAATCTGTGGTGCTGTGATTTATTTGGTTTGCATTTCTCATTTCTGTTGCCTCAAGAAAAAAAACTGAGCATCGTCTTTGAAACCGTTTGTTTCAATGTCTGAACGTGTTTGTGTAAAAACTAAATTATAACCGATGTTTTGTAACTCTGTGGGTCAGAGGTCACTGCTCAGGTCTAACAAGTGTCCATTTTAACTCCTAAATACGGCTGTGCAAAAATTAAATTACAAATAATGCAACATATTTAAAAGTCTTATGATTTGTTTGTTTCGTAACTCTGAATTAATTTTCCTTTCTTCAAACTCCAATTGAGAAACGTCCTTTATGTCTGCAGGAACAGTCCGACACACCTGATTGGTCTGTGTGAAATGCAGCGATTATACAATAATAAAGTTCCAATGTCGTAAAACTAGTTCTTCTTAATGTGCAGCATCTTAGTGAGTTACTTTTGATAAAATGGGTCAAATTTGTTGTCATATCAAACTACAAACATTCATTTATTTATTTTCCATAACAACTTATCCTGCTGGGGGTTGTGGGGGGTGGAGTCTATCCCAGGTGACGATGGGCGAGAGTCGGGGTTCACCCTGGACAAACTACAAATATTATCAAGCATAAATAAACCATAAAATGTGATCAGGTTTTGGACCTTGTCCACTTTTGTTTCAGGATCAGCTGCAGAGCGACTTGGCAGAGATGGCTGCCATCTTGTTTTTACACAGATTAGTGTATTGTGCTTTTGCTGCCACTAGATGGCACAAAAAGTGTCCACGAGTGAGGACAACAGGTCTGAGTAAAAGCCAAACTGTGACGTCCACATCGCAGACTGAAATCAAACTGAGACACGAGGATCGACAGAAATCATGAAATAAGTAGTGACAGTTCAGGTGTGTTCACTGATTAGTACCTGCAAGCAGGTCAAACGGAAAACTGGAAGGAGCTGGTAAACCTCATTGCTTAGATGTAGGAATATTTCTAAGACAAAAACCAAGTCCAGTTGCATTCGATTCAATTGCCTTGAGATAACTATGACCTGGATGAATGAGAATATCCACAGGCTCATTGCTTAGTGACACTGAGTGTGTTTACATGGACAGTTTAATTCCCTTTTCATTCAGAATGAAAGTTCATTTCATATTAAAACTGATCTTGTAAACACCTAATTCGGAATGAAAATGGCCAATGCAATTGAAAATTCAAGCCGATGTAAGGGGCTGGAATATTCCGTTTGTCATTCCGAATGAAAGAATTTCTTGCACTTGTATACACTCATTCCTCTTTAAGTTCATTCCGGTCTTTCTGCACATGCTCGTTTCCTTGCCCTTCTGGCGCTATGACGTATATAGCGTGCATAGCAACGGGCTGAGATAGAGCAGTCGGACTCGTTGCACTCACCGGTTTCCATTCACCACAGCACGGTCTTCTACCTCCCTTCTTCGACCTTCTACCTCCCTTCTTCGACCTTCTACCTCTCTTCTCCTCCTCAACAGACGAAGCATTAGCAGAACAAGGTTGTTGTCGTACTGCTGCTTCAAGAATATAAGCAAAACAAGCCCGAAAAAGGCACTAAGAACGGCGTCGTCAAGCATCTTGTTATCCGGAACAAGGACTACAGTGTTTTCTTCCGGTAAACGTAAACATGTAACATCTGCCCCGCCCCCTATCCAATCAGAAACATTCCCTGGCCCAAACCTTGTGCGGACCCGAATAAAGGTGATTAAAAGGCGATTAAACTGATCTCCCGTGTAAACCCTCATTCAGAATGAATATTTCTCATGTAAACTACCTGGAAAGACTTTAATTCCAAATGATTTCATTCAGATTTATTTCATTCTGAATGAGAAGCCATCATGTAACCGCACCCAGTGAACTGATGTACAAACAGTCCAGGTCCTTTTAAAGAAATATTCCTACATCTGATTGGACAATTGGTTCAAACGGAGCGAGCTCAAAGCCTTTGCCTCAGCAGCGTCTCCTCAGAGCTGCGGTGGATTCCAGCTGTGAAGGAAGCCGTCAGGCTGCAGCTGGACTCACGGCTGACATGAGGAGGTAAAATCAGAGAGCAGCAGGTCAGTAGTGGAGACGTCTGTGACTGTGTGATAATAACAGAGTCTTTGCTTCATGTTGTGTTCTCTTAACAACCTCCACAGAAACTGTGAGGAGAAGCTGACCAACCACAGCTCCTGTTGTCTCCATGTGATCTCTGCTGTGGTGTGAACCTGTTAAAGAGGGTGAAGGGTCAGTTTGGTTTGGAGACGTCTTACTTCATCGAAAGGCTCTGCAGACTCTAAGGACTTGGAGGAGCTGGTGGACACAAAGGACACAGACTCTGAGTGTTTCTGGTAACTGGACCTTTGAGGAGGAGCTCTGCCCAGGTGGTCTTCATTACAGCGATGATGCTAACCTCAAGCTGGTATAAGAACAGGAAGTGGGGTGACCACCATAAAGAGTCCACTCTATGCCCTCAATGGAAGGAGGGGTAATGGAGGACGAGGGAGGGTCATTGTCCATTTCCCTGCCTGACCCTGAGGTCAGTGTTAGAAGGACTCGGCCATCCTCCCTGACTGAAGGCAGAGAGCTGGAACACATCTGAATGTGTCCGATACTCAGTCAGTCTCAGCTGGACTCTGGGTTTACTGATGATTAGCTCATGTTCACATCACACCTTGACAAGGATGGCTCGATGAAGATGACGTGATGAAGACAGTTTGAAAAAGACATTTTGACAGGACAGTTTTAAGACAATTTAGTGAAGACATTGTGACGAGGACAGTTAGAGACAGTTTGGGCATCATATGAGACAGACCGTGTATCCATGATGTCATCCGTCCATTGCAGCGCTCAGCTGCTCGTCCTCTGAACTAACTATAGCTCCGTTTATCTGAACAAATTAACTCAGACATGATGCAACATTCCTGCAATGAATCCTGGGACTTCCCTC